CAGCTTCTCACAGAAGCCACCCCTGTAACACCCCCCTGTCCCCGCTACCAAAACCTTGCCATGCAAACCCAGTACAACCTCCTGGTTTTGAATAGCTCCAGTTTTTGCTTTCAAAGTTGACCTCTTCATAGACAATTAAAAAAAAAAAAAAACCAAAAAAACAAACCAAGACAGAAATAAGAAATTTTTGAAAATTTAGATAGGGAATACTTCCCTGGATACTTTTTCTGCTCTTTCTACCTCTTTTACAACTGCCAAAGAGAACCTACTACTGAAGAAAAAGCTGCATTTTCATTCTTTTTGAGCTAATGAGGAGTAAACTAAAGGAACATGTTAGGAATGTTCACAGACCTGGCAAGCTGTGGTTTCATTCCCTTTTCTGGGTATACCATTTTGCTAACAGTGAGGAGAACTAGCTTTGACAGAACAAAATGTTATACTTACTGAAAGGGTTCAAGAATTGGTGTCAGGAGTAGCGATTTTGGGAATGGTGGGAAGAGGAAGGCTCTAGCTAGGCAGTAGAGCTGAAGAGAAGTCTCCACTGGAAGGCAGTAGGTCAGATTGCAGCACATCAGCTCTGTCAATCTGTACCAGACATTCTAGGGAAAACATATGTTGTAGCATATAAGGCTCTTTTACTGCTTATGTAATTCACCTGGGCTTGTGGTTCCATTCTTTTAATGTCCAAAATGTTTTGCAAATGGAAGAAAATAGACAACTGAAAATATGAAGATGTTTCTCTTGAACTAATATTACAAAAAGATGCATTTTTGATTACACGTTGCTGGTAGCTATCATTATGTTCTTTATTAAATCATGACTGACAAAAATTTTTCCTTGATATTTCCTTGATTCTTATTCTTCTTCTGTTGGGTTATATGATTTCTATCAAATGGTATGTATTCATTTTCAGCTATTTGGGAGTTACGTTGTTCTGTCTAATGCCTGAACAAATAAACTGGTCTTTGTTCTGCTATCTTGTAAGAATAAAGACTACCTTAGAATATGTTCATACATGTTGAGGAAATAAATTAATACAAACAGGCAAGCCAGGCAGATAAAAGAATTCTCTTCCAAGCTGTACTCTCTTGTCTAGTAACTATTTAAACTTGCCTTTTGAAAATAAAGGGTTTGTTTATTTGAGAACAACTATACGATCATTTTGAATTACAACACTTTCACATGTTTTTCATGTGGCCAAACAGATTTATTACACAAAGAAAGGCCATAGAAAGATGGCGGGAATTAAATACTGTATTTGCATATTGCTAGCAGTATGCCTCATGCTTTTCAGACCGCTAGGATATCAAAGTCCTTGTTCTGAAAAGCATTCAGTCCAAACAAACATATAAATACATTGTAAGATGTATAAAGAAAGATTTGATTCTCCTTCATTTTGCGATTTCAGTAGAGAAAGGGAGTCAAATTTTACATCAAAATATGACAAAAGTACCCTAACTCAGCTGAAATACTTCATTAGCGTTCTTGTAAGTAAATAGGACGGATTTATACTGCAGCAAACAAAAAAATTACTGCAGATTTTATGAGCACAATCTGTACATGTTCAGAGTCTTTTTTGTGTGCTACAGATCCAACTTTGCTGTACTTAAATCCTTTGTGTCTTTCATTTAAATTATATGGAATATGATCTGTCTTGATACTCTCCAAATACATGAGCTAATCTTTCCATTTTCCTGTGAAAAACTCAAGAGTGTTTTTACAATTTCTACATAATGCCATCCATGGTTTTGCAAAGAATTAAATCCTTCTCCTCTTAGAGTAGAACAAGAATTTGAAAATCATGATGGGAAATACTGTACTTACTTACAACATCTTTATAAACTACTCCAAAACTTCCATTGTTTTATTACCTATATACCTACAGACTTACTCATAGAGTTACACAGGAGTTAATTTTAAATTCTGTTAAAAAATTGGATAAAAATACATATCAGTTGTTCTGTTTCAATGTTGAATGCTAAATATATATATATATGTATATAAGTATATACATACACACACATACATAGGCTGGTATGCCTTCCTGTCAGAAACAGAATTTAATTTGGTTTAACTGCTTAAACAAGGTTCCAAATAAGCAGCTGTAGAGCTATCCATTGGTTCTGTCATGCTGGGGTACAGGGATGTGCTAAAGGCTAGACATCTCTAGCAGAGTATCTACTGATACATCACAAAAAAGACTAGATTATCTAGAATACCTGCTATTACCACAAAAAGCACAGTCCTCAAAACCTGTCTACTGCAGATTTTTATCAGCATCATTTTTACATGATAATGTTCTTTTTAGCTGCCTGAACCTCATTTTTTCGTCCACTTAATTCCCCTTTTTTGTTTAAGTGTAATCTTATTTATCTTATTGAGTGAGATTGTTTCATATGAACATCTCTTTTTTCCCCTAGTTGTTCTACACATCCTCTCTCTCTTATTTCGTGCAATTCTTTCAATGATTCTTGCCAAACTTTTGGGTTTGGAGGATGGAAATGGAAGGAAAAATGGCCATGCACGGCGTTATCATTCAGCTGGCCTGTATTCATATCAATGTAGTTATATATTAACTAATCATAGAACCATAGAACGGTTTGGGTTGGAAGGGACCTTAAAGATCATCTAGTTCCAATCCCCCTGCTACAGGCAGGGACACCCTCCATGAGACCAGGTTGCCCAAAGCCTCATCCAAGCTGGTCTTAAACACTTCTAGGGACAGGACATCTACGGCTTCTCTGGGCAACCTGTGCCAGTGCCTCACCACCCTCACAGTGAAGAATTTCTTCCCAATACCTAATCTAAATCTACCCTCTTTCAGTTTAAAGCCGCTACCCCTCGTCCTATCACTACATGCCCTTGTAAAAAATCCCTCTCCAGGGACTTTTTGCCAAAAGTTAGTTTCAAATATGTTAGGCTTGACTGAAACTGGCTGCCAGGTTCAAAACTTGTATTTGGACAGAGGGAGAGAAACTGGCAGTCCAACCACAAAAGCAAAATTATTTTAGGAAAGCAGGGATATAGAAGTACTCAAGTTTGGCTCAGATCCATGTGTTATTTAAAATCTTAATTTGCATCTGCTCAGCAGAAATGGATTACATTTCATCAGATAGCTTTCTAGAGAGTGTTCCTATCTTCTCCATGGCAGCAAGCACTAATTAGCGATTCTTATTATTACAGCGTGTTAGAGTCTATTGTGGTGCTAGGCACAAAAGCTGGGGTAGGCAGTGTCTCTCTTACAATTTTTCTTACACAAGAAAAATGTGGATCTGCAGCTTGAGAAGGGGAAAAGCCCAGGGAGCCAAGACAGAGACATAGGAAAAGGAGAAGATAATAGGCTTAGAAACAGAACCACTTTGAAGTGACTGAACAGGACATTCGAATTTGGAGAGTTGTGGAGTCTAACAGATACATACAGAAAGTAAAGATTTATAGAGTTAAGCACTAAGAACCTCTAAAATGCCAGATTTTAGTTGCACATGAAATACACTTCCCTCTACACATGCATTATGATAGTCTATGTTCAAAGCATAGCTCACAATAAAATTAGTTGCAGCTTTTGTTATTTAGCCTTTTGGTAAACTCCACATATCAATATATTAAAGTCCAGGTTTTGTTACCAAATGTTACCAAAAAAAAAAGAAAGACGTAATGATTACCAAGAAGAAGAAAGGCATAATTACTGACTATCTAAAAATATTAGATTGAAATTAAGTGACCAGCCCTACAAATGCTTCAGCAACATCAGACAATCCACTCCTGCATGCTGGGTTCAATGGATTCTAGCCTGGTAGCATTCCTTCTCTTCCTTCAGTTCCCTGCCTTGTTCTTTATACTTTTTATGTATGCTACGTACACAACACAGGCAACAAATACATCAGAGGAATTTACAGGCAACTCACTTCTAAAGCCTTGAATCATTCCAAAGAAAGTATGTTCCATCCACTGATGGAACCAGCCTTACTCTTCTATTTAAATGGTTTTTTGTTGTAATACGTACAATTCATTTTCATTTTTGCGACAACACAGTGACAATACTGTTTTTTAAAAGGTGAAAGGATTTGTAGTTACTGCAGAAGTTAATTCTCCATGTTGATGAAATGTCCTTATTCCAAGGTGAATGCCTGTCTTTTTAAAAAAATCCTGTACACATATTAGCACTAGTATTTGTATCTACAGATTCATAGGCCAGATTGTCTTCTCATTTACATCTCATAAAATTACTGGTTGCAGAGGAATTTTCCCATACTTATGTATGTATAGATGAGAAGCAAAAATCTGCCCATCTGTTTTAATTTGGATTGATTTGCTAAAATATTAACTAGATAAATCGTCTTAATAAAATACTTAAACAATATTAGGTTCAAAGTCTTCTGGTCTGACCTTCATGACAACGGATTTCAGAGAATACCACCACCCATGCCAAGTGTACCAAACAATCCCGTTGTCTGTCTTTGCAGTATAGGGGCCTTTGTAGTACAAACCGTTCAAGTTGGCAGAGTGACACCTGGTGGAAAAGTAAAGAAAAACAGAAATAAGCCCTCCTGTCGAAAAGTTGCAAGCATTTGTAGTTTCTGTGAGAGTCAAAAATTTGGCCATGCTGACAACAGCCCACTTTGACAGCTGCAAAAAAAATTGCATTGGTGGACTTCAGTGTGCCTAAATAATAACAGTTTGATAAGGGCAAAACTGCTCTTAGCATCTTCGAAACAAAAGGGGTTTTTGTTCTTTCCACATGGTTCTGACATTACTAGCTCTCTGAGTTTTACCTGCTGATCTGTTTCAGTGGAGAATTATTCCACAATTGTTCAGGTCATGGGTGGCAGCAGGGCCTACACCAAGCAAAACTTTGGGAAAGAAATACTGTGCTGCTTTTTGTTGTTCTAGAGTAGCCCCTCATAAGTTCTGCAGTTACCCCACAGGGTGTTTCGTACGACAAAACCTGAATACCACCATCGGTTTGCCTATTGTGGACTTCTGTTTACAAATAGATTAAACCTGACAGCCAGTTAAACATATGTATACCAATTCACTGGACGATTGAGCTGGCATTTTATTTGACTATACGAAGTACATTCTTTTTTGGGTTCTTTAACACACGGAAGCAGAAGCAGAAATGGTGTTACAGTTTATTAAATATAGTGGTTAAAACAAACAAACAAACAAACAAACAAAACCATAGCAAAACCCAAAAGGCTTGAATAGATCCCAGCACATACTTCAACAACCTTCATACTCATTTTATTTCTACAAGAAAGAAGTTTAGAACCTTATGTGACCATATGGAGAGCAAATCAGTTGTTTCTTCTGTAGCACATTGTAATGAATCAGCTTGGTTTATCTGCCAATTCAGTGTTTTGTTGTAAGTGCTGTTAATATCTAGCTGTCAAACACCATGATGGATTTCAAAAGCAGACTCCAGAAAATATGCAAGCAGAAAACAGTCCAAATGAACCTTATGGATATTATTACTAGCAAATCTTAGTCTCTTTGGCTTTGCTTACACTTACATTAACAATAGTTTTTGAGAACTGAAATGCAAACTGTGATAAAAGCCTCATAGGAAAATTCTCACGTGTATATGCTTATTCATTGCTTACAGTTTTTAAGCTCAATTTTGCTAATGTGTTGGTTGAAAGCTTATAAACTGCAGATATCAAAAGTGACTTTGTTTTCGAGAATGGCAAACTTGTATCAGAGCTGACATTATATTTCTAGCCATACAAATTTAGTGTTGAGCAGGCACTCTCTCTACTTTGAATCAAAACACAGATTTCAGTAGAAGAATTGTAATTGCTAAGAGGTATCTAGATCAACCGAACCCCTTCTTGTACTTCCTTTGCTGGAAGAAGGCAAAACATCATTTTGTCAACAGCAATAGGAGCTAGTAACAAGTCTTAATTAGTGCTGGGAGGCACTAACAGCAAAAACCCACAGTATTCTGTAAGCAATATTCTGGATGCTGTATGAAGTAACTGGACATACTAAAGAAACAACTGGCATGTGATTATTGATATGATATTCTGAAGCAACACTCATGATTCAGAAGTCAATAAATACCTTAAAGTTAGCCTATATTCCTCCTTTCTTTCTGATAGGCTAATTTTTAAAGTAAAAAACTGCACTGCAATAGTTTCTAAAGTACAGTCAACTCTCAATTATCTGTGGACATTTTATCTGAATTATGTATTAACTGTATCACAGATGCAGAGAGATGGAGTTGTTTCCCTGAGAACTGTTTTAATTCTGCCTGGACTTACTGACTCCTGTATAGCCCCACATGGATGTAGCTATGCTGTCTCCAGGATGATTGCTGAGGCAGGAAGCCTGCATTAGTGAGATCTGTGACCCCACCTTGATGCCTGGCAGATCCACTGTGATCATCCATGCATGGTATAACTAAAACTGGAAGTGCTGGGGAGAGAATAAGCTCATGTCCAACAAGACTCGTTAGCTCTTCTTTTACCAATTATGAACCTACTGACCATTGCAATGCCCTGGATGCAGGAAAGCTTATGACCTGGGTGTAGGACCAGAGTGAACCCAGCTCTGTGGATTTGCATCCAAGCTGAGTATCTCTTCTAGAGTTTTGCTTACAAAAGAATGCAGAGAGACATTTTTCTGCAGAAGTCCAGGATAACATGTGCTGAGCTGTAGCAAGACCAGTGGCTTTAAACTAGATCTAAGCAACTTCCATGTGGCCTTACTTGTGTCACATCCCTTGGTACTCATATTATCTGGGTGTTTCTGTATTTCATTAGTTCACATAGCATAGAGCTGGCTATAAAAAATTCCTTCATAGCTGGGAGCTCCTATACAAACCAGCCAAGAGCACTAATTCCTTCTATGTTTGCTAATCTGTGCATGATGAATATGTGTTCTGAGTGCTTTCCTTTCTCTGCCAGTACTGTTCTTTTGGGTAGGATTTAAGGATACTGAAATTTTCTAGTATTTTGCAGTATTCAGTTTTGTTAGGTTTAACATAAAAAAGTCAGTAGCAATGCAGTGGAATAACACTATTAGTAACTCATTTTCATTATCCAGATAGACAGTCACTTTAAGAGCATGAGCTACACAGCCATAATAGGAACTAGCCTGGTAGAAGTCAGCTATCTTTAGTAGTTACGTAGCACCAACTACGTATTAATTAAGGTATTAATAACTGTCAAGTTTGGCCATACAGCTACTTTTGCAAGAGTACTTCCAGACCAATCCAATATTAAAAAAAAAAAAGTTTTTAAAAGACAAAGAACGTATGCACTTGACTTGGTTATTCACTCTCAATGAACTCCATGGCATGGTATCAGAGTTTTACGTTACTTGAGGTCTAGATATTCCTCTAAATCCACAAAAGTTCTGATTTCACAGGAAAAGGATCTCCAACACAGTTGCCTTTCCTTTTTATATCTTAGCTTTCATGAGAACTGCAAAAAAACTTTGTCTACATGTGATTTTTTTCCATATGTCTCAAACATTCTGCTGACCTACTATCTGTGCAAATATATTAAAATATATTAAAATAAGTAATTAATTGTGAAACATTGAGTTAATAGCTACATTATATCAGCTAAGGTGGTCACAGACTACGTATGGAAACAGAATTTGGAAAATGAGGAGTTAAAAAACAGAAACAAAGGATGACACAACAGAGAGATGGAGTTGATCCAACCTGGCAGCTGTTGCCAAGTGAGCTGAGATCACAGTGAAAGAGTAGTATGCTTCCCTGAGTTGTATTTTAAACCTCTCTATTACACAGCTAGATTACACAGTTTCTCTTCATGGCTATATTCATCTAATTAATTAAGGGAAAGAACATAGCTGCCTATACAGACAGTGCTAAGGCTACCAGTTTTATCCTTTCTTTTTGAATTGATATTCTATATGTAAGTAGGATTTAAAAAAATCTTTTACTGAACTCTGTTTAAAAAAGTCTTCCTATCAGTCCAGCCATACTCACTGACAGAAGCTGAGTGGACTCATTCCCATCTTGATATAGAAGGAATAACAAGAGTGAGATGCTGTGAACTGAAGTGAGAAAAATGAGGCTTAATAACCTGGCACTAGCTTAACTTGTCAGATATCTGCAGTACTGCCACATCTGGTCTAGTGCAATGCACCAGAAATGCAAGAATGAAGTACAACAGGGATACGTCTGCAAAATCTACATGACCTACTTGTGTAAGAACTGGTTACCTTAAAGGGGCAGAATTACCTTCTTACTGTCTGATAACAAAGACAACCAAAGCCTATGGCAAATACCATTATCACAGACCAGCTTGAGCTGTGCCATAGGTGCTGTCCCTTCGAAGGTGAGTCTCAATCTTACCAGCACTGAGATGTCTGGTAGGGGTCAAGGGCAGATTGCAAATATAATAAACAATGCCAATCCCATCTTCTACCATATGTTATTATTGTATGAATACACATGAAGCAGAATAGTTGACAACACTAATATAAAATCAAAATACCTGTTAAACCACCAGCCAGCCTTTTCCTCTTCAGCACAGTTTCCTTCATAGTTGTCATTATCCCTGTCTCTAGTACTGAATTTCATTCCTCGATGATCAGCCCACCATTTTACTTCAGGATGAAATCCACCAGCAAGGGAATCACCAGCTGTACCAGAGTACTCACCACAGCTCATCTCATAAGAATGCTAATGAAAAATGTGAAGAAAAAAAAAATCCAATATGTCTTTAACTTTTACCATGTCTGAGAGTGAAACCACAAAGAGGAAATTAATCTGTTCCATCTGCTACTATTTTTAAGCTCAGAAACATCATGCCATTTAACCACCGTGTACTACATAATGAAGGGGTGTAAAGATGCTTACCGGGGGTAAAATTTGTCAATAACCTTATGTATAAATGACGTAATAAAAACAATTATAGAGTTACTTTGCAGTATATATTACCAATCAGAATATAATGTTCCATTATTGTTGGTAATATCAACAAAATTAGAAAAACTGCTTTTATCCATGGCTGCTAAACCAAATGATTCATACATCTTACAGAAAGTGTGAAACTGCTGTATCAATGTAAACCATTATTATTACATATTTGAAAATTCCAAGCATTTGTAAGAAAGAAAATATGATAATAAGGTTCTAAACAAACCTTTATGAAAATTAGGGAACTTGTATGTTTATTGTCTGTCTACAGAATCCACATTTTCATTAAAACCTCCAGTCATTATTCAATATTTTATTACCTCTTCACCTGCAACTCTGAATCTTGCATATTGTGCAAAACGCCGTTCTCCTTCAAAATCAGTTAGATCAATTCTTAAAGTATAGTTCCCTTAAGAAATAACAACACAAATTATTTTGGTTAAAATAGCCTATCTATCTCACTACTTTTCAGAACAGAGTATTATACTAGAAGATTAAAATACTATACTTTTATCACGAATCTCATCTCTATCATCACAGCATATTTTATGGGAGTTTATCTTCTTTATGCATATTAAAGCATATCTTCCTATTCTTTGTCTTTATTCACCTGATTAAGCTTAGAAAAAAATTAGAATTATTCCAATACAGATTTTCAAGTGTAGACAAAAAATCTCTAAAAAAATGGCCCTATGGACTTTATATTTTAGTAAGTTATTTGAGGTGGTAATGAAAGGATAGTGAGAATCAATCAATAAGTGTACACCTAAGAAAATTAGATTTTTATACTTTGAAGATAAAAGTTATACTAGGACCACATCCTGTTTGCATTGATTTCCATATGAATTAGCTGGCTAAGTTAATGGGTAAGTTTTGTGTATGCAGCATTTTACTGCAAAGCAGAAGTTTTCTTAGATTGAGTGACCATTAGAAAGATGGAAATAGCTTTCTAAGACTAGCCTAATCAACAGGACAGGCCTAGATTTACCTTCATGTAATAGCCTATGAAGCCATGTAAAGCCCTGACTAAATGAACTGGTACTCTGGACTGTTAGTGATACTGACTGTGAAATGGGTAGAGACAATTATTTTAAGGTATACTCCTATCTACTGTTGCAGGGGCTCCCTGCATGCCACTGGCCTCACAACAGTTTTGAACCTTTTGTTAGAAAACATATATTCAAATGTGTTTTGTTCTGAAACTTGGAAAAGTCTATGCAGACTAACAACAGAACTCAGGATTTATGCTAACAAAAAGGGTAACAAAAAATGGCCTGGAAAGAGCAAAGAAACAGAAACAATAGAAGACTATTGTTACAATACAAATCTTACCTTGATTAGTCAAATAATGAAGATTTTTATTTCCAAGCCAATATTCACCATTTGTCAAAACAAAATTTCCAAAGCCTTCTTCATAGTCATTCCAGACTCTGAAAAGAGTATAAAATACTAATTTATCAAAAAAGCAAGTTTGCTTGGATGTTTATTTTATCATACACTCATAGATCACAGAATAATTCAATTTGGAAGGAACCTCAGGAGGTAATCTAGTCCAACTTCCTGCTCAAGGCAGGGCTAGCCATGAGATCAGACCAGGTTGCTCAGGGCTTGTCCAGTCAGGTCTTGAAAACCTCCAAGGATGGAGACTGCATATCCACTTCGGGCAACCTGCTGACTGTTCTCATGGGGAAAATTTTTTCCTTATATCCAGTCTGAACTTCTCTTGTTTCAACTTATGTACTTAGTTTCTCATCCTCCCGCCAGACACCACTGTGAAGAACTCTCAGACTGTTCTGTTTTCTTAGAGACCTCCTTGTAGGTACAGGCAGGCTACTGTTAGGTTCTGCTGAAGCCATCTCTTCTCCAAGCTAAACAAGCCTTAGCCTGTCCTCACAGGGCAAGTGCTCTAGCCCTTGATCATCTTGGTAGTCCTCTGCTGAGCTCTTTGTAGGTTCATTATATATTGGAACAATAATAAACAAATATTTTACACTTTATTATCTTATTTACATTGTTGATATTCACAGAACTATTTCTATTTCTTACATGTGAAAGGCTGAATCCCACACTACACTGGTCACTGAATCCCAGTCCAAAGAGTAGTCTGAAGAGGTACATTCAAAGTGGTTTAAGATTAACAGATTAACACAAGAAAACACATTAGCTCAGGCCAATCTCTGATATAGCACTATTTACCTGAAGTGAAAACATTTTTCCTGGTTAAATCCAGGGGATCTAAGTGAGAATGTAGGTCTATCACAAGCATTGTTTCTTTATTTTCTGTGATTTGATTAAGCTGTGAAACTTCTGCAGCTGGATATATAATTTTGTAAATTGAGGTATTAGCCAGCTGTTTCCAGCTTTGACTTACTGACTGATTCTAACAATTTTTGAACTCATACTAGTGCATAGTTTCAAGAATTAATGTGTATACTGAAAGCATTGAATGTTTTCCCTGTCTACAGTAGCTTTGAAACACTTTCTCAATGGTTTTGGTTTCATGACATATTCTAACAGGGAAAAAATATGATCTATTTCCTTGATGAGAAGCAACTATACTTCAACCAATGGGTGAAAGTATTAGGCTGTGGACAGGCAGTCATGAGAGAAAGCAGCCTCTGTCATTTAAGTAGCTGGTAGTCTCTGGCAAGGAAGAACAATGGGTGGTGTGTGGTGGTAACAACTGTAAACTGCTGCAGATCGCTTCTGTAGCTTGTCTGACAATATTTTATAAAATAAGAATAGCAAAGTTTTCTTGGCTGGATTGCAGTTTTTCATCCTCTCTGGGGATCACTTCTCTATTTCATAAGGGTATTGTAAAGTTATTTACAGTAATTATAAACATAGGTAAGACACAAATCCACAGAAGGATGCAGATATATGAAAAGCAAATTGGACAAACTGAGGGTTCTAAAAACCTTCTTGTTGCTTCTAATACCTGTAAATATTTTGGGGCTTTTGTATTCAAGTCTCACAGCACCAAAAATTTCACTTCTGGACATTTCCCAGAAATGCTTGAGTCTTGGCAAAAGCAAGGAGGTTAGGAGTCCACAGATCAAGTTTTCACCCATCTTATCTTTCTTAAAGGCATTTTACTATGAGCTACAAATTACTCTGTGGTCATTTTCTCTCATACTTGTTTGCTGATGGTATTTCTGTTCAAGCAGATTGCTTACATTTTTACTTTTTTAGACTTTTACTATTTGCAAAAGACAAGGTAGTCATTTACGTGCCATTAAGAGTTATTGCTCCAACAATTGTTAATGCATTTGACATTGAAGTGTCCTCATGTAAAATGTACAAGCTGTCAGAAAAAGACTAGAAGAGATGTCTCCCAGAAGAGAGCCTGAGCCAGAAGTGGTATCTCATCTGAAGGCTCTCCCACAGGATAACCATTCCTCCCTTTTACCTGAGATAACAACTTATTCGTATAATTCTAAAGTTAAGATTTAACTTAGCTCCATCTGGTTTAATGTTTCTCCACTTTGTTTCCAATTTTAATGTCTAAGTCTAGTACCTACCTATCAAAATTCTGGCTGCCATCAGAACGTCTCTGAAAAACAGTCCAGCCACCCCCTTCAGACATGTCACAGAAGGCAAGGAATTCAGTAGGACTCTGGATAGGTTTCATCTTATAAAATCCACTTTGCTTATGGCCATCATTGTAGATTTCCGCACAATCTGTTCACAAAACATTCATTGGACAGGTTTTTTTAGTCTTATACTTACTGGCAAAATCAGAAATCAAGTCAATAACAGGAATCAAGTAATGTCATAGAAGAGTCATGTGTAAACCAGGCTAATACAAAGGCAATACCCCTGCAAACACATTTTTATGACTTTTGCACACTTTTTTTGTGTATTTGTGTTGCTTTAAAACCTTATTGAGCTGTAATTATTTTGACATTTATTTAAAAGAATCTTTTTTCCACCATAAAATAGTATCATTTTGTTTTCATTTGACTAGCAAAATAATTCCTCTGGTTTAAGTGGTGTCACTTTTAATCTACAATGGTATAATCCACATTGGAATCCTGTTACAATCATATAACTTCTCTACATATAAAATGTATCGCAACCTTTAAAAACAAACATTGTACTTCTGTGTCCATAAAGTCCACAGGAGAACTGCCAAAACCAAGAGTATGGAATCACCACTGTTAGAAAAGGGAAATAATTGCTGGACCTGATACTCTTGCAACAACAGGTACAAAAATACATAGAAGACTACCTCCAAAAAGTGCAATGTATGTGTAAAATGATACCACTTCTGATTGATACCATTTACAGTCTGGTCTCTGTTTGTGTTAATGACTAATCAGCATTTACAGCAATGACAAAATTCAGAGTTCATGAAAATATAACAGCAATGTAATTGTATAATCTTATCTTTTTTCCTCTAGGAGTTAAGAAATGAGTTCTTTGTTTATATGTAATCTACCATCAAGCAGTCATACAGGAAAGACGTATAATTTTCAACATTCCTGTTTTTCCTGGCAAAGGTAGGGCTGATTAACTGTAAGATTTTCCCTGAAACATTTATGAACATGTTGGCTTAACTTCCAGGCCAGTTTAGAACCTTCTGAACTATTATGTTTCTTCTCAGTGAAAGTGTCAGTGAAGATTAGACATAGAAAATAAACACTTTATACTGAAAACAAATCACCATGCCAGGACTTGAATAAACTTTAATAGAAAACATAATTTAAATAACAGCTAAGTTGTCTTTCTAGAGAATGTTTGACTGGCTTATAGAAAATAGCTTTTCTTGTCCATTATTTTCTTAGTAGGTTAGCAAAACATTTAAGTATATTTTAATTTTTAGCAGGTGTATATAGTGTGGAATTTCTCCCTCACTATCTAACCCCAAATTATCCAGTTCTGTTGACATTCAAATGCTACATCAGTTTGAATGAAATAATGCAGTATCAACAAGGAAAAACATTTTCCAAGCTATGAGGAAAGTGAAAAAATAATGGAAAAAAAATAATCAGAAACCAGAACAACTTAGGTCTGTTATTTAGAATCACATTTTAAGAAAATAAACTGAGGCATATGCTAAGAAAAGGACAAATACCTTTCAGCTACATGTGGTTTTAATAATCTTTTCCAGTAACTAATGAATCAGCCATAATAATTTAAAAAAGTATTCCAGAATGCTGAATACATAAATAAATATACAGCTAAAATTTAAAGTCAGATTTACAACTGCTTTGAATTTCATTTTAATGGTGCTTTATTATATTCGATGCTTTGTTATATGTTGTGATTTCTTCCAGAAGCACAAACACTACAAGTATATTCAAACAAGGCTATTAAAAGTTACAGTTTAGACTGGACATCTAGAAATGAACACTATCCAAGAATCAGACCCCCAAACTGGATTTTCAATCCAACTGTTTTTCTGGATGGTGTTTTATTATTTTAAGTTTGGGCCTCACTCCAGCTATTACGGGCTAACACACTTAGCCTTCTCCCACTGCAGAGGGACCAGATCACCACCAGAATGCTGGTTAGATTACAAAAACAACTTAAACCCAGTGTTTTAGAAGCTGTGATGTCCTGAGATGAACCTAACTCAGTCAAAATGGTGCAACATAGAGAATATTATCAAAGTGAGATGCAGATGTCTTTATGCCAGGCTTATGTGTGTAAATATGGTTGTCAGGGACTTCACAGATTGGAACAGAGTCAGTGTGTGGTTGTAACCCACGTGACCCTGTGAATGTGTGAATGTGAACTGACCCTGTGGGTTGGAACTGTTTGAGATTAGTGAAAGAAGGGTGTTTAGAAATCTGTAACTGTTTATTAACATTTTCTAAATGTCTATTATTGGCTTTTATCTGCTGTATTGCTGATATTCTGAATTTATTGTTCACTGATTGTTTTTTAATTATGTGCTATTAATAAATTAATAACTCAATAAACTGCTTTGATCCTGATTTGATTTACATCATGTGAGATTAACAATTTTTCCCTGCGGCACCAGGCCTAGGTAAAAGCTGAACACTGTGTTTTAAACAAACAGTTTTCTACGAGCTTTTAAAACAATAAGTCAATGGGCCCAATTGTGCTAAAGCTTCTGGGTATCATTACAATGAATGGAAATGAAAAGAACAGCTTCATTTCTAACCTGAATACTGTCTTTTTCCTCCCAAGTCAATGACACTGTTTTCATCTCCTCTGTCACTGTACTGAATCTCTTTCTTCTCTAAAAGCTGTACAATTTTTAACTGCTGCTGTTTCACACGATGTTCTAGAAGCCTCACCTGGCCCTGAAGTCGTATCTGCTCTTGAAAACAGTTCTGTGGATCCTAGAGAGGGAAACATACACTATTGTAAAACCAACAAATTTTTGTCACGTTTAACATGTGACACAAGAAACCAAACAAAGCACAAATAAAATTTAACTTGAATAAAACATTTTGGTTACAATTTCCTACAGACACTATGGTGACTTCCACCTCAATTGCTACCTCTATTTAAAATTATTTTGTATAATATAGAGTGTCCAAACATACATCTGCTTTGCAAAGAGACCTTCTCTTTAGTGGCTATAACTACCACCTCTCACTGCGAACATGCAGAGGGGACTTTAGGGAAAAACACTGTAGTACAGACCCTATCATAAAGATTGGTTATTCTCTGCCGTCTGCCATGTACATAGATTTACTATCCAGTGAGGCCTGCTTCACATTGTGAAGGTTCTAAAATTCCAGAGTTTTAAAGAAATACAGTCCACAGTGATATGTTTTCAACTTCATTGTGCATTTTCCAAATGCTTTTAGATTACACACTTCTTACGATAAGAATCTTAACATTGCCAACATAAATATTGTAAAGTTTCAAGCTCATTTTTGGCATGCTAAAATAAATAGTCCCTAAGAAGCTGTGAGTATGCATGAAAAATAAAAGTCAAAAACTTTAAGTCAACATTGTGCTGCGACTTGTACACGTAATTTTCCCATGGAGAATGGGTGAAAAATGTGGTGATTCTGATATGGCAATACCTAGCACTTATTTCACCCTGGTGCAAATACTGATACGTGACAAGAGAGCTGGAATAACTGTTCCAAATTCTGACATGCTGAATGTACACAGAGCAATAAATAATTATTTTTGATTAATGACTATGGTAAAATAGCCAAAGTGAACAGAATCCAATCTAGGGAGCTTAAATGAAAACAGCCTGTACAGTTTCAAATAGATATTAAAGAAATTTGATTTCAACATAGGGAAAAAAGCCTGTGGGATTTTATTATACATTTTACAAATGTGATGTGAAGTTCTGCATCAGTAACATTGTGTCTGCATTTTTATATGAGCAAACAGAGTTTAGTAGCTATGGTGCTTGCACGAGAGCACAACTAGCACTGTAAAAGGAAAATCAGAGGGCAACCTTTTGGAAATCTGATATGCAAGATCAAATAGTAGTTCTAAACTGGTGCAACCTTATTCACAGACCAACATTATTTACATGAGCTAAGGATGTACATTTGCTATCCATATGGAAGAGATGATATGTTAGAACATTGCCCTATCAAACTGAACTACAGAGAGATCTGAAGTAGCATACTGATGTGGACCTCCACTGGCATCCAGTTACTTTCATTTCTATCAGCTCAGGCTTCACCTATTTTCCATGAACACTCCCACCAAAATGTTTCTTGTCACTTTCTTGCCGCAGTGATTTTTTTTCTTCTATCTGAAAAGCTGATACCATTCTGTAAGTTTCTATGTAGCACAAACATGGTTCTGGTTAGACTTCCTTGCAGTACCATTCACCACAACTCCAAGAATAAACTTCGTGAATTAAACTAACAGTATTAATTAGAATGTGCATTTTATGACTGTACTACATACAGATTTTTTTCATAATTAATTTGTGGTACTAGTTAAAAAGCAGAGGAACTTCTGCTACTGTCAAGGAACATCTATATAAACTGTGTCCTGTTATTTCTACAATCTACAACCTGTTATTTCTGATTGATAGAAATAAGTGCTGCAGATCTCCAGGCCCCTTTTCTTTTTTATTAGACAGGATGCAATTCACTTTCAACAGACAAGTGAATTAGAGACGTTTCAAGAGAGTATTTGAAGATAAAAGAATCTATGTCCATGAGTTCAGTAAATGGTTCCTAGCCATCATGTTCCATTTGTCTGCAATATTTAGTCACACTGAAAAATTTTATTATCAGGCATGCTAACTTTGCAGAGCAATCGTGAATATAGGCCTCTGCTTTAAGTATTTCTGAAGTGTATCAGATGCTTCCTTTAATTCACACTTAACTGCCATCTAATATACATAGTGGAATAAAAGAATGAGGAATGTACATGTGGCAGGACTAGGAAGTTTGTCAGTGACCTGTTCAAGAGGAAAAGGTTCAGCTGGCTCCCAGGGTTTGGGCTGCCCATGTCAGGCTGCTTGGACAGCAGGGGTGTCTGCAGACTCCAACCGTCCACTTGCTACTAGGTCCTGAGAAGCCATTAAGATGCTTGACCACAAGGAGGAGCTGTAAAGTGAGAGGCTTGTTTACCGAACACTAGTATTTTTAGAGGAATAAACAAAGCAGCCAATGACCTAATATCCCTAGAGTCCTATCTTATTTAAGAATACTCCCTTGAAAATATTTTTCAGTTGTTGAAAGTCATACAAGATCCCTAGCATTCTCTCCTTTTCTTCTAGCAGGAAAAAAGAGAAGAAAATACTTAAAATATATGCACATACAGAGACAAACTTGCTACAGTGGCTTAGAGGGATGTTATTTGACCATAAGCACTGGTTAATGTGTGACATGTTGCATAGTACAAAGAAAGGATGCGCTATTATGCAGTCTTTCCAGGGTGGTTGTCTCAACTGGTATCTACAGGTTCATATAAATCCTTCACAAAAGCTGAGTTGAATTGGGAAATTCAGAAGAGGCTTCCTTGACAGGTCTCTGCAAATTCTCAGACTAGTCATGAGTGCATACAGAAAATTATGGAGAAGCAGAGAGCTGCATAGGTGAGTTGAGGAAGAGTGAATAAATAATTAATATTTCCAGGCTTACTCTGACAAGCTAATGCTAGTTACAGAAGTAAAGCTGTCAAAAAACCCTATGTTAACAGTCAGACCAAAAATTAATCCTAATCATATTGTTAAGAGTGATAAAGAAGCCACCACGCCATACTTACCAGTTTTAACTACAACATTTGTTTATTGAGAAGGTTAGCCTCTATCAGTCTTAACTCAGTACTTGCAACCTTGGAGAACATGGTAAAATACCTTAGGAAGGATCTGGGTGACCCTGGAAATGGTGGCCACTGTGATCAGGCCCTTGCAATTTCATAGGAAAGCCTTCAGGTGGGTAGTCTCTAACACGTGGCAAGGTCTGAGCCACCAAGAGCTACTTTCAGTTCTGGAGAGAGCATGAGACTGCGTGTTTGAGGAGAGACAGCTACAGGCAGCTAAGTGTATTCCTTTCACGTGTAGTGAAAATGCATCTATCACTTCACCTAAAAGCCATTCTCCTACTGTGATTAAATTACACATGAAAAGTACAGAACTTCTCAAAAACATTATCATACCTTAGAAAAACTTGGTATCTAAATTCAGTATGATGCTACTTCACATACGACCATAAAATGTCCTTTCTTTTGAATGAAATTAAACACAAGTCTGCAACAGGCTCTGTCTCTAAATATTACTACCTTTGTATTTTAAATGCATCTTTTCTTTTTGTTTACTTAAAAATTGTGAATTAATTCATGAAAATTAAAAACTAACACTGAGCTGATTCTCATTTGCTTTACAGACAATACACTTATTATGAAGTGAACTAATATATCTACATTACACACAGAAATTTCCTGATGAAAAGGATTTAAGCTCACAGTGCTGGTAATTAGTAAGTGACAATAAAGAAATCACCAGCCATACTGAATAACTACACCATAAGAAAGAAATGGCTGAGCAAGAAATAGAGTTTTGAAAATAACCTACAGATGAAAAGTACTGGCATCTGATACTTTGCTTTCTCTCCCTGACCCCCACCTCCTCATTGGCATCTCTTTCTGTCAACTCCAGACAAATCCCATTACATTTAGCTGCTGAACAGCAAAATCACAATTCTCATATTTGGAGTTCCACACCTGTTTTTCCCACGCGACAATAACAAGTTAGCTGTGTAACTTCAAGGTGGATCAATGTGAGTTTTAGATCTGCAGGTTAACAGACTGTTCTTTTAATGTACTACTACACTTTTTCATAAGGATAACTGTTTTAAAATCACTGGAATTAAATCAGTGCACAGCTAGACTAATCTAGAAGCAAAATGTAACCTAGGGTTGTAAGAGTCTGCAGCTATAACATATTGCTATTCCTTTCATTAGATATGGACCAAAGTTACACTTTTACAATGTTCAAATACTCAAAAAAATGTGAATTTGATTGTTACTGTCTCCAGTGGACAGTAGTGCCCACTGATTGAAACCAGACTGAACATAACCTGTTCTATCTGCTTCGGTGAAGCAACTGTTTCTACTACACACTGAGAAGCAATTATCTAACAACTGCTGACAGCTCTGCTCTTGGCCATGTGGTCCCATATTTAACCAGCTGCTGCAATTAATGTGCATTCACAATCTTTATTTCATTATTGTGTGAATTATTTAGCAACTAGTGACCTGCCATTAAAATCGATGCTATAAATTAGAATACTTTATGAAAACTATAAAAATACAAAATTTTTAATTGAGGTGTTATTTCCTATATTTTTAGAATTTAAATGAGGTCCAAAAAATCTCTATTGAGATTAGTGTATTAATGAGATTAAAATGTGAAAACTCAGAGATAAATTTCAGAATGTTCCCAGTTTTTAGTCACAGGGTCAGCTAAAGCCCATAATATTCCAAATGAAAAATCAAAAGAAAGCAAACGCATTTCATTGTAATGCCTTTTTCTCAGTAGGCTTTATAAAAATTGGTAAAATTTTTCTTCACTGAGTAAAAGTCATTACAGAGGCAGGTACTTCCTATTCTGCCCCTACAGAGCTACTTCTCTGAACAAAAGGCTTCCATAAAAGATAATGTAAGCCACAAACAATGATGCTCACCTAGTTGTAAATTCAGCAACCACTTCCACATAGGCAATTATGAATCAACAATTCAATCTCCCAGTTCCCTGCTAGTTGGGACCTGAATATCAAACTATGAAGGACAGCCAAAAAAGGCAGTACAGGACTGGTGAGGTTAGAAGTATTTTAAGCAGTGGAGTAAGCGTGTGCGTGTTAGGGTTTTTGTTGGAGAGGCAGAATACATAGCAGGTTTGGGGAGCTAGAAGTGAAGGAGCTTTGACCATTGTTTCTGAATGTGAATTATAACATAGTAACACGGGAACAAGTAAGAATAAGAAGCTGTGGATATTAGTTGAGAAAAAGTTGTATGGCAAGTGGACAAGGTAGAAAAGCATAGAAACATTCTTCATCTTGAGTGTCAATGACCAGAAACACTGCTTCTGTAGCCACTGCTTTACGAGTTCCTGGGTTTTGCCTTTCTGTAAGTATGCTGCTCAAAACTAAAGGTGTTATTCTGATTTAGCATTATCCCTGAATGGTAGTATAACTGGCTTGTGTGCCTTGTGTACAATGTGCCTGTTAATGCATCGTGTGATACCTTTTTTAGCAAAGATATTCTATCACCTCCTATTTCATGTCAGATCCAGTAACAAACTGACTGGATGACTTTCTTCAGTGCTACTGCCCAGTCATTTATCTCCCATTGTATATGTATGCATTTGTTTCCTCTTTCATTATCGGAAACTTGTCCCCACTGAACATTATTTGAGGTTATTTCCTTAGTCTTTCAGTTTTGTTCTGTATGCTAATCTTTTCCATCAAATGTCTGCCATCTCATGTAGCTGAGATGATACATTGTAAGCATAAGGTATGAAATATTTAGAAGAAACTCTATAGGCAAATTTAATTACTAGAACTTACAGAGCTGCCAATGGCATCCATCATGCTAGCTGCAAGGACAAAATCAATCATTATCAAAATCTTCATTCTTTGAAAGCTGTGAAGTAGAGAACAAGTGAAATACTAGTTAACGTAAACATTAAAAGTAAATACTTACACCTGACATCTTAAATTTTATTCTAAATAATTGCTTTAATCTATAATTATTTTCCTACATATTGTAAATATCATGTATATTTAGGCTTCATTACAAATGTCTAAAATAGTCTGGTCAAGTACAACTCTAAAACCCAGTAAAAACAGAATTTATCCTTTTAGGCCACTTTATATCAGAGCTTTTGATGTATTTCAGGACATCTCTGCAAGATTCAAACCCACACATTGTATTGTGAAACAAGACAATAGCATTTTAAAATGCTCTGAAAAGCATTTTCATGTTCCTTGTTGGCCCTTTAAAGTTGGGAGAAAGCTCTCTGTTATATTCAAGTAATTAAAATCTGAACTGGGCTAATTGTCCTTGAACTAAAGAAGATTTGTGCAACTTCTGTGTACCAGGAGAGGATGGAGATAATTTTACTGTTATAGAGTAATTTTTCAGAAAAAAATGAGTAATAGTTATCAGCTTTTAACCTAATGGTGACAAGGATGACATCTTTCAACTGATTGCTATGCATATTTTGTACCATATCACCTGCAGCATTTTAAATCTCATTATTTCATATGAAAATTATTTTACATGCCAAAACAATCACCATTGTATCTCACTGCCTTGCAAACATTAGCTGATATAACTTCACAATTTTCTGTAAGGTAGATGTGTGCTTTTCAGCTCACAGATGAGAAACCAAGGCCTCCAATTACTGAAATATTTACATAGATTATACATGAACCAATTCTAAATTGATTAGTTAAATTGCTGCAAGCTATCAACTGAGGAATGTTTCCTTTTTAACTTAAAATATTTTCATTTAGCATACACAATTGCCTGTGTAAACCAAAATATGTGTCCACTCTGCTTTTTCTACTTTTTAAACTAAATCAGCTAACTACATGTTAAAACATTTGTGGTTAGACAAAGCATAAAATCTATAACAGAGATTAATGATTCAGTGTCAGCATGTGCTTATTGAAACACCAATTTTATGGAAATTTCCACTCATATTCCTACAGGAATTAATATAAAACCCTAGTGGAACTTGGCAGACTGTGCTTTTTACTGTGAAAAGATAAGCAAGGTGCTTATGTGAAGTATGTTTTCAAGTTCTTGAAAATTGGACAAGTCCAACTTTATTTTCACCAATCTCTGCAAACCTCATGCAAGAGTACAAATTACAGCCCAGCCAAATTTCAGGTTTTCAACACCTACCTATAAAATACTTAGGATGCTTTTTTAAATTACAGTTATCTTACTTAAGTAAGCAACATTTATTTTATTCTTAGTTCTGAGTTTTGCTGGTTTGAAAGCATCATATTTGAAAGCATCAAGTTGAGGCCCAAGTATATCTGTATAAAGTTATACCACTTTACCACTTTCTTGCACTGGACTGATACAGACGCAAGGTGTTGAGGATACTCTATACCCATTGACTCATGTTACAGACAGCTCAGAAGGTTTTTTTAAGCATTTTGGACGTATGCAACATCTACTGTTAAGCTGCAAAGCACTATACTAAGCTGATGTCTATCTCTAAAGATTCCAAAGGAATCCATTAAAAACTACCTATAAAATGTTTCTTGAGTAGAAAGTACGAACTGAAAATCTTAGACAAAGTTATTTCTATACCATAAAATTTCTGAATTGTAAGTTGTTCTTCATGCTAACCAAATAAATGTTACATCATTTGAATTAGAAACTTTACCATAATTCAATGCAACAAGTTCTGCTACTGTTCGAAGTGGTGAGTCCTATGAATTTCAGGCTTAGGGGGGGTGGGGGGGTGGGGGAGTTTTTTGAGGGAGGAAATCTGCAAGAATTGCCTGGCATTGAATTCTGTTATTAATTTAGATTTCAGAGGTTTCTGCCATGATAAAACATGCACTTTCACCTTACGACAGCAGTAGTTATGGCTATTGAAGCCACTAATGTTTCGAAAACAGCTGTTGCCATCTGTTGCAATGACACTGTCTGTGAGAGGAGCGGCCAAAGAGTATGTTAGCTGTCTGGACAACCTGCAAATAATCTATCTCTGATAATTGCTGTCCTGACTCCATGCATATCTTAAATATGTTTTCTAGGAGAGAAGTGACTATATTTTTTTCACTGGAAGATTCATATTTAACTGTTCTGCTTCATTCTCTGTTATTTTCATTATAAAAGCACACTGTTCTCCCTCACACTAGTCTTAATATTCAAACTTTTCTATCATGATTTCACTGACTGTGAATGCCCGAATTCCACAATCAATCTTAAAAGGGGTGCACAGCCTTATCAATACAGTACTCTTTTTTTTAAAGACTAACAAGTAAATCTTGCATACTGTTCAGAGAAATTTATGTTAGTTAAAAAAACAAAAAGACAACTATCGAGCACAATCAAGGCAGGTCATATCTCTTACAGCATGTGTGAGCTGCTATGAGCAAGCTGCACAAAAGGGACGAAGAGCTGAGGAGTGTAGAGTGTGTGCAGTTGGTTTGGTTTATCATCTTCAGATGAAGTCACCTTTCTATTTAAAGGGTGCCTGTTTCTAAAGCATGTTCCTGTTGCAGGGAACTTCATAAGGGCTGCACTTGGAAGACAACTTTGCATGTATCAGCTTTAGCATTGAACTAAGATATGCTCAAAAAACATACCAAAATATAGGAATAGTCTCATAAATAAAATTCTAAATGTTATTATTTAAATATATTGCTCAAGATATTTTAATCCTGGAGTTTAATATTTAAGAAAGGAAGTTGAACAGTAAACACAAGAAAGGCTATTGATCCTGTAATCACTCACCATATGAACTCACTACGGTCATAAAAGAATTAAGAGCTGTATAAAGAGGGGGCAACTGAGAGCTCCATTTGGCAGACCTGTCAGTCACAGAGGACCTGAAGTAGGAACAAGGGTTGGGGGACCAAAATCTTTGTGTTGTTGTCCTCCCAAAAAGGGAGAAAGGTCAAGAAGACTAGAAAGAGACATAAAAACTCAAGCTCTGAAAGGAAATGGCTGACCTGTTTCCCTGCTTCTGTCACTGCCCAGCAGGGAGACCCAGACAAGGTAGAGCACAGTGAGCACTGCTGATCCTGGAAGAGGCAGTACCCTATACCCATGAGCCAATTTCTCAGCAGATATAAACTCCCATAGTTTATCTGATCCCACAGTTGCAGCCACATGAGATTCATTGAGTGGTCAAACCTACAGTGATGAGAAAAGTGGCAAATAGGGTCAAGCCCCATACAAGTTCAAAGCACTTTGCAAACACAAACTGAATCAACAGGTCCAGTCTTGGAATTAATGTGGGTAACTGTTTACGTAGCTTTCCACATTTCTACAAAGTTTCAGAAAAGGTTGTATTAGTAACAGTTCTTTGAAAAGGTACACCCACGCTCCTTGGTAATATGTAAAGCTAAGGTTCTGTTCAAGGGATGCTTAAAATCTTGCTCTGGGAAGATTGCTTTGAAAGTCAGTTTCTTAAACTAATTTCTCCACTCATTTAAATATTTACCCTGGTTGTTACAGAGCTATTTAAAATACATTATCCAGAAATGTACGTGGAGGGTAAAATAATTAATAATTAAAAATGTAGGGAGAGAATACAACTGCTGATAAACATTCACACACAACACAGTAAAAACATCCATTCCAAAAAACTGCAAAAAATTAGAAATCTTAATCCGTGTCACAGATAAAAACAATTGCATAACTTAGCAAATATTTTTGTGTTGCTAATGCCAGTGAATCCAAAGAGTTAATATGTGCTGAGAGACTGCCAAAACTTTTGTTGTAACACCTGTGTTGGTTTAACAAAAACAAAACAAACAAACAAACAAAAAAAAACAAAAACAAAAACCAAATTTCTGCAGGGGAGATCCCTTTCCAGGGAAATCTTAATCTCAGACAGTAGACATGTGGATTAATTATCACACATCGTGATAGAGAGAGAAAAACTTATGTAATATGTTCAAGTTGAAAGCACAAGCCCTTAACAATTGTCTGAAAAAAAGAATCACTTTCTGTTTTAATAAAATTGAAGTTTAAGGGCAACTTTTGTGAAACCTTGAAATTTTATCCATGAGGTTACTCATTTACTATTCAAAGATGACACCTGGAATGTGCACTTGCATAGCTGTGCAGAAGATTTATCCAAAGTTATGGAATAAAAATTCTAGAAAAGTACCTTTTTCTTATGCCTAGGCTTTCTTTACAGGCTACTCAGACAGTAAGTCCTATGTTCAAATTTCCCCTAAATTTGATGTTTCTCCAAGTCTTTCAACAGCAAGCTACTAAATAGATTTGATGTCATTAGAGAAACTCTGTGCTATGAAAATTTTGAACTCTCAGCCTGTTTTCTTGTTCTTGAATTCTGCAAACTAGATGAAATTCAGATGCCTACTTCTGTTTGTACAGTGTCAGTAAGAATTGCATTGCTAATAAATACAATATTAATAAGAGAGAATCTGCCAAAAGGACAGATAATGACTTGAAAAATTTTTGTTTGCTTTCTTAAAATTCAAACTGATTTTAATGATTAAATGCATGCACAAATTTTGCTTTGTTTAATTACGTAGTGTTAAAAATATTGCCCCATTTTTCTCCTCTGAGAAATGGACAATAATTCATGATTTGATCTACTTTTAGGCTTAAAAAGCCACCTTGTTCATACAGCCATACATTATTAGAAATTTAGAAACTACAGATATGAAAATGAGATTTATTAGCTAACTAGATATTGTAGCAAAATAGCTGGATCCTGCTAAAACATTCATACGTCGTTAGCAACATTGCACCAGTTACATGGCCTTCAAAAACATATTACTTTTAAACCACAACTACAGCAATTAACCCAAATTCTTCCTTCTTCCCTCTCAGGTACCTAAAATGTTTACCTTTACCCTCTGGACAGAACTCAAAGTTGTTAAATCTTCTTAAGCTGATGCAAAGAATTCCAGAGCCCTTCCCAGGCTGCAATTGTTTTTGCTATTAAATTCTGTAGAGTTGAGGATTACATCTGCTATGAGTCACTGGGCAGGAATGTTCCTGAGAAGTTGCAGTTATCAAGACTAAATTGCAACATAAGAAGGAGAAGACAGTAATTCTGTGCCTAACAGAACACTTCTGAAATAAAAATAGACCAAAAATAACAAAGGATCATGCATTCCCTTTCACTGCTGTGATCCAGGAAATTGCTCTCAGCATCATATTCAACTATACACTCCAGCCATTTCCTGAATCAGAGCCTAAATCTCTTAGGCTTCAGAGGTATATAGACAGCATAACTGAATCAACTGTTTTAGAAATACAACATAATCACTCAGACTAGAAGTTACATGTTAGAGGTGATATAAAATAAAAAGATATCTGCTAAAAAAAAAACCCAACCCAAACTCAAAGTAACAAACATAGTACAGACAAAGCCAAAGGAAACAAGAAAAAAAGGACAAAGAATCTTGTTTGATGTAAGCCAGTATTTTTTAGCTAAATTGGAAGGCACTCAGAAGCATATGATCTCAGTGACTTGGTTAAACAAAATCACTTTCTGTATAAGCTTTTTAGAGCCAGATGAATACATCAAAGAATGTTTTAAAATGCAATTTATTTTGAGTATTTGTCCTCCTTCTATGTTGGCTCTTCCCAAAAAGTTCAATAAATGAGTATGCTTAAAGGAATGCTTCTTGAAGAAGTGAACTCTTAGGAAACAGTGAACAAAAGCAGCCCCGAGGAGAAGGACTTGGGGGAATTGATTGATGAGAAGATCACCATGTGT